TCATTTGTGAGGACTTTATGATCTGAGTTCTGGTTTCTTATAGGCCGCAAGCCCCTATAGTTAATTACCCCTTCCCGATCACGAGAGAGAACTTTTCGATTAAGGCTAGTCGCAATCATATATGTAAAGAATACGTGTTATCTGGCATATAGTAGCAGCAATAGGGTTTGGAAATTTTGCGAATTTTGGAAAGTAGTTGGGAATTGGAAGATTTATAATTTAAAGTAGAAATTTCACCATCATGCACTTAAAGCTGATGGTGGTAGGAATGGATGATAGACCCGACAAGATCTCTGTGTTCGTCGTCCCGGCCATCGTGATCCCTGCGTCTACTTAGTCATGAGGAGGTAGTTGACCAACCTGACAGAAAGATCCTTGTCGGCAGCCATCGGGTTGTTTCGTCCAAGGGACCTTGTAGGACCGGTTGTGATGCTTCTAAGGGGACAAATATGAATCAACCCTTAGCTAACAGAGGCTTTGTGCCCTATCAATTATATTCCTATGTTCATACTCGAGGATTTAACGTCATAAGAGCGTATTGGCGTCTGCATAACCGCTATCTGTGGTTTGCCCATTTGACGGCAAAAACCACTCGCGTTCTAGAGGGCCCCGGGTCATAACCGTTTATCCTGCGGTGCCATTTGGCGGCGAAACCGCCGGTTTAGAGGACATTGTACCACGTCCTTACTGGCAGGAGAATGTTTGAGAATGGATCCTAGTGATAATTTTCGACTAGCATTTCGCTCTTTAGTTGAGCTGAAGTAATTTTCAAATTTGTCCACCTCGCAAACTTTACGGAGGGTGGATGGAGAATTTTTTTTTGTTTTAAGTGATGATGGTTTGATTCTTTTTTAAATATATGGAATTTTAGGATTTTTGAAGATTTTTTGGTTTTTCTGGGATTTTGGGTTTTTTGGGGTGGAGCTTGGATTTGACATGAACTTTTGGGAGGACATTTGAAAGTATTTGTGAACCCCTCCGGTTGTGAGATCTTTGTTTCAAACGGCCATCATCGGGGTGTTCGGGGTTCATTTCTCTTTATGGATTGAAACCTTGTCATCTCTTGTCGGGCTGTTCAACAGAGGATCGGGGTTTCGTAGCTTTATGCCTTTGAGAGTGAAATTTCTCTTTGTATAGGCTTTGAAGCCTAATATGAATGCATTGAAACAAATTACACCGGTTCCACAACCATGTATTTGTTTAGATGGTTTGAAACCCTTGTTGACTCTTTGACCCGTATAGAAGGATCAGGTTCAAACTTGAATTCACTTATTGACCCGCGCAGCTTCCCTAGAACGTCTATTGTGTACCAATAAACACGCTCGCCGGGGCCCATGCGGTTTTGAGTTGTATTTTTCCCCTTAGTGTACCTATGTGTATAAACAAAACTACGGTGCACGAGCAGGGATATTCTTGAATAGACGCCTTCTGTCGGCTTGTACGAATGTTGCAGATCGGTGGCGTGATGTTGTAGTTGTGGGACGCCTTCTGTCTGGCTTGTACGAATATTGCCAGATCCAGGGTGGCGTGGGCCGTAGCAGCTTTGAATAAAGTATTCGCTGCTTCGTAAGGTAGACTGTCGTTGCACTACTCGTTGCTTTATTGCAGGTGGATCGTAGTGCACTAACGAATCTCTGCTTTTTGGGTTGCTAGAAGTTCGGCTAGGAACCTGTAGGGTTTTTATTGCACTTCTGCTGTGATTTGGTCTTTACCAATACAGCCCACTTAACTGTTGGAAGTAGATGTATTCATCCTTAGACTGAAGTGACTTACAGGATCTGCATTTACTGTAGTTCTTTCCTGGCATCTACCCAAAGCTGGTTATTGGACACATATATTTGTTCGTAGAGAGATCATATGTGTTGCAGATCTTCTTGCACATATTATATATCATTTGTGAGCATTGTATTGAATGTATGCGGGACCCCCTACAGATGATTATTAGGTTACTTGCATTTGTGATATTAAATCTCCTCAGCTTGCGGTTAGACAGGTATGCCATCTACCTTCCACTGCCTTCCGGTAGGATGTATTAAGCATCTTAATACTTGTGGTAGACTCCTTGCATCCTCCTTGTTAGATTACATGTTGTATGCCAATAGGAATTCTCTACAGACATTTGACTTGTACATCGTTGTCTACCTCTACTTGCGAAACATTTCATGTTGTGTATTGAATGTTATAACTTGCAGAGGGACTCTTGTATTTGTTTGACAGTTGAATTTGTTTGCCTGCTTGTGGGCATGTCACTTGATAGTTCTTGCATTTCAATCATCATGACAGTTCTTTAACATTCGTTGGAGATCTTGCGCTATAGACTTACATGTAGAAGCTTTGTTTATTTTCTTTATATTTGAATTGATACTTAGTGTATGTAAGGAACTAGCGATGCTCAATTGCCATGTCACTTTACTGAGATCTTCCGCCACAAGTTTTCCTATTACACGTGAGGTTCATTCCAAGATTTTCCACAAAATTCACCTTAGTATTTGAAATGAGACTTACTTTATCCTTCATTAAGAATTTAGTGTTAGATTCAAATTCAAGTTTCAGTTAAAGTGCCATTCGGTTCAAAGTCAAGTCCAATGGTGTCAACTAGAAAGCTTAATCCATGCTCAAATTGCTTCAATTCGAGTCCCAAATTAAAGCTCCTGTGATCTTGGGAAGTCCAAGTTTGAGTTCATGTTTAATTTCACTTGCAAGTTCGAGCCATGATCCACTTGAGTATAAATAAAGTTCAAATTTAAGTTCAAGTATCTCTTTCAAGGGCGAAATCTCTGGGTAGTGTCTTATCTATAAACACATCTGCCTTTCAAAATTTACCTCGGAACTTATTCAGTTAAAACTCCCTCGCCGAATAAAAGAAGAGCGGGCGGAGGCCGGGGCCGAATTTTCGGAGCCCACAGCTGTATCTCATATATCTAGTTTTGGGTTGAACAACTACCCATTCCAAATGTTTTGCTTTGTTTGCTAACGAAATGTATCATCTGCCAATCTTATATTATAGTTTATAGCCTATCCATGAGATAAGGTTTCTTAATCAAGGAGTTTGTTCAGGAAACCTGTAATGACGAAAGGAACCTGTGAGTCATTGCCGCTTAACTGAACAGCATTGTCTAATTCCTTTAGAATTATTTACTGCAATATCTATTGAAGGGGATACAGTAAGTGGAGTCCCAATGCACAAGGCACACAGGTTTTCTATGTGATGTCAATGAAACTATCATATGAGGGTTTTTCATCGATTGCCTAATTGTCTAATATGGTGAAAGAATGTTACTGCTGGCATAACAAATTGCAGGTGTAATCTTACTGTTTAAACCTGTCACTTTATTTGTTTAATATGCTCCCAAAAGCGATAAAATAGTTATATTATGATATTTTGGCTATTTCATTCTGTTGCAAGAAATCAAATTTTGTTGTGATAGCATTGATTTTTTTGACCTGTATATATTTTATATAACATAGGATCTGGACTCAGAATCCATTGGTGGGATATTTTTGGGTTCAGATAAAGCTAGTGATCAAGTGTGCAAGCATGATTTTAAGCTGGATGAGCAGGTTGGAATTATTTGTCAGTTTTGCAATTTTGTTCACACTGATATACGAGATGTCATGCCGCCATTCGTGAGTTTCTATCTTGAAGCCATCAGTATAGATCATCTCGCTGATATATGCACGTTAATGCCATTGTCATTATAATACTTTCAATTATCTCATGCAGATGACTGCTGATGGACGAATTTCAAATAAGGAGTATTGGGGTAAAAAAGGTTTCCTTGAGATGAGTGCTTACATTCTAAAATTAAGTACTTTTGACAATTCCATGTCACACTCTAACTTCGCATCATTTGGAGGAAATGATACTATTTGGGCTTTAATACCTGATCTCAAATTAAAATTGTATGATCACCAGAAAAAGGCTTTTGAATTTATATGGAGGAATATTTCTGGATCTTTGAATCCTAAAGACATGGAGGTTCAGTTAGGGAGCACAGGTGGTTGCATTATATCACACACACCTGGGTCTGGTAAAACATTTCTCATGATTTCATTTATAGTAAGTTATTTGACACTTTTTCCTAAGAGCAGACCTCTGGTACTCGTCCCTAAGATTGCAATTTGTGTTTGGCGCAAAGAGTTTGAGAAGTGGGGTGTTCAGTTTCCATTGCACATAATGCACCCAGTTAACAGCTACAGAAAAGAAACTCTGGATTGCAAAACAAGGACACCTTTTATGGACCAACGAAAGCCTAACATGAAAATAAGTCATGTTATGGACTGCCTAACGAAGTTACATAAATGGCATGAAGAACCAAGCATTCTCTTGATGAGTTACTCGTCCTTTTCCTCAATGCAGAAGGATTCAAAACTTGAACACAAAAAGTTCATGGCGAGGGTGCTGCAGGAAAGTCCAGGTCTCCTGATTTTAGATGAGGGTCACAATCCACGAAGCACCAATTCAAAGCTGAGGAACCTCATAATGGAAGTGAAGACCAAGTCAAGGGTACTTTTATCTGGCACACTCTTTCAAAATAACTTTGAAGAATATTTCAACACACTTTGTTTGGCTAGGCCAACCTTTGTTGATGATGTCCTCTGGGAATTGGATCCAGAGATTTCAACATTGATGAGTTCTCGGAGCAAAATATCTCATAAAAGAAGCAGAAGGAAAGAGAAATTAGCTAGAAAAATATTTGTTCAGAGAGTTGGTGAAAAAATATCATCTAGCATGGAGGATGAAAGGAAGCATGGTTTTGATGTTCTGAACAATATCACAAGCGGTTTCATTGATATTTATGATAATGACAATTCAAATAAGCTTCCACGTCTACAAATATACACTCTGGTACTGATGCCAACAGATATACAGAATGAAATTTTATCTAGATTGCAGACCCGCCTAAAACAGTTAGCAGGACATCCAATTGGACTTGAGTTGCTCATCTCTGTTGGTTCCATCCACCCCTGTTTGATAAACACCATGACCCATGCAAATGAATTTTATAGTGACAGTGAGCTGAAGAACATCGACAAACACAAGGAAAATATGATGTGCGGTTCTAAGATGAAATTTGTGTTTGATCTTGTACACAAATCCTCCATCAGAGGGGAGAAGGTTCTGATCTTTTCCCATAATATATCCCCTATTAGTTTACTTGTAAAATTTTTTGAGAATTTGCTGGGATGGCATAAAGGGGATGAAGTCTTAGTGCTTCAAGGTGATCAAGAACTTTCCCTGAGAGCAAAAATCATGGAAAAGTTCAATGGAGATGTGGAAAATAAATGCAAGCTGTTAATTGCATCTACGTCAGCATGTGCTGAAGGTATTAGCTTGACTGCAGCATCTCGAGTGGTTTTGTTAGACTCAGAATGGAACCATTCTAAAACAAGACAAGCTATTGCACGAGCTTTTCGACCTGGTCAGGAGAGAGATGTTTATGTTTACAAGTTATTGGCATCAGGAACATGGGAGGAGGATAAATACCGCAGTAATGAATGGAAAGCTTGGTTGTCAAAAATGATTTATATTGGACAATACATCGATCATAATTCATGCAGGAAAGTTGATGTTGTTGAAGATGCATTATTGAGAGAACTCGTGGAAGAAGACCAGGGAAATATGTTCAAGATGATAATGAAGCAGGATTAACTTGTTGAGTTTCATATGATTTCTAATCAGCAGAAGTTACTTAAAGGTATAGCTTTTTCAATGGTAAACTAACATTATTCTTTGATGAAATGGTCTATCTGCAAGAGTATGATGCTGCATTTAATGATTTTGACTCAGTCATGGCATCAGGAGATGCCTTTCCCACAATTAGTTTTAAGTATAGAGAACTAAACTCAAAACCAATGGGATCTCAATGTTAAATTTATAAATAGTTAAGTTTTGATTCATTAGACACTTTATTATGCAGTTTATTCACAATTGGAAGCGAATTCAGAAAATCTTTCTTAATCAGGTACTCTTATAAGGAAAGTTTAGCTCTAATGATGCATTATGCTTTTCTGTTTTTAGTTCTTTTTGATTCAGACGGCTCAGCGGGCTGCGAGAAGCCATGGATGGTCTGGAGTTGGCGAGTTGTGCCTGTTTTTGGTGCATGGGCTCAGCAATTCTATTAGCCCATATAGAGCCAAATTTTATTTGAATTTGACGGTTCTTGTTTTTTTGGATTCTGAATTAGCCTTTCTTTTCTTTTGGGAATTAGGATCTTGATTCTACGAAAAAGGTTGCTAGTTTATTTGAATTTATAGGAAATTTCTTCTTCTTGCAGTCAGCATGTTGTGTTAGGATTTGAACTCTTATATGGTATTATAAATATTTTATATGAATGAAATCAAAATTGGGTTTAGCATTTCCAGAAGAAGTTTTCCTCTCTCTCTCTCTCTCTGAATCATAAGATGTTCCGCATTTCAATTCGATCGAGTTTGACATTAACATCAAAAGATGGACCCCAACATTAGGACCAAGATGCTTAAAATGATAAACCCATATCAAAAGCACTCAAACGACACATGTTTTGTCAAATGGACTGCAAAAAAAAAAAAAATTTGAAATGCCGCAAATATCCAAAAAAGATCCCTCAATTGTGGTCCACCGCACAACAGTTCAAAAAATTCACGTGTGAGATGAGGATGTAAATTTGGAGAAAGAGTACGAATGAGCGCTTGGGAGGAAACATCTTTGCTCAACCAGCGAGCTGCATGCGTGAACTCTCCCTCAATTGCTTCACTAGCGCGCTCGCTCATGTACTTACTCGCACCTAAACTCGAGGCTGTCAATCTCACAAAACCAGCTGTCTCCATTTTTCTCTCCAGCACCTATGTATATATATAATTTTCAGTTAAGATAATTAATTAATAAAATATAAATTTAATGCAGAAAATTTTGATTTTTAATTTTTTGTGAATAAAAAATATCATTATGATTTTGAAAAAAATTCAAATTATATTTTTGAACAAAATTTTTATCAAATCAAATGATCATTCTATTAATTATAAAATAATTTTCTTATTATATTTTCTAATAAAAAATATCTAACTCAAATCAAACAGTGAAATTGAATCATTTTTATGTTATTAAATTTGATTGTTTGTCTTATAATATATACAATTGAGCAAATATTTTTATTCCATATTTTTAAGAAGAAATAAATCTAAAATTCTTTTTGGATATAATTTTAAAGTAATCATTTAATATTTGTGGACACCATTTCATAGGAATTTTTATTGGGTGCGGACTCTAGACGTAGCTCTATGTTTGGAGTCCTATAATATCGTGCCACGTGGACCCCACCATTACCCCACCATTCTATTTACCATGTTTTTTTCCAATTATAGTGCGGCCTGACGACCCGACTCGCCCTATTCACGAAAAATTGAAAAAAATACAGTGATTCTATTTAATTAGTTTTTCTCAATTACATTGCGGCTCGATGACCCGATCCGAAATTAATTTGTATTTGTCGTTTCAATTTTTCAAAATGTCTCGTAGCTTCGTGGTTTTGCACAAATCGAGGGTTTAGGGTTTCAGTTTACTACAAAAGGAAGACTTGCAGATGATCTTCATCTTCAGTCTTCACTTTCTACACGAAGCCACTTCGTTTACTCCATTTTTTCATTGTAGAAATAGAATGCATAGCTAAGGTAAGTTTTTCATAGTAGGATAACATATACTCATTTTTATTTGTCACATTTATGATTTAGGGTTGGATTGGATAGGGTTTTTTGTATTATGTAGTGGGTATTAGTTTGTATCTCTCAGTTTGGTTGGGTACGCCATATGGGTAGCGATGGGTACCCCGTTTGGGTACCACTGTATACCCCGTCTGGGTACTCAGCGGTACCCCGTCTGGGTACCTCTGTTCATTTCGAAACAGGAATGCTTTTTAAGTTATATTCGCTATGCAAATACCATGTTTAGGGTTAGATTTTTTTTTTGTATTTTATGTAGAGGATACCGGTTTGTATATATGTGTACTGCAGGGTATCGTCTGGGAACCGCTAGGTACCGTCTGGGAACCGCTGGGTACCCCGTTTGGAGTGCAATTTTTGCTGATCAACTACATCTAACTTTATAGGGATATGTTCCAAAGATTAGTTTCCGTTGCAGAACATCGACATTTATAGAAGTATGTGATCATTTGGTCGAAATATTTGGGCAAGACCGTGGATATACTGACACAAATTCATATACATCGGTTTCTTTTGATGCCTCACTATGTTCAAAATGTTCCTTTGTTTTACAAGTTACTGTCATTCTTGGGTATTAAGAACCAATGCTTTATCATCAAGGACAAGAAGTTAGCATTTACCGTCGATGAAGTTTCTTTGATCTTAGGCCTACAAAGCAGAGGAAATCATTTCAACTTGGGAAGTGCCCGAATCACAGGAAAATCCGCAAATGACATTAAGAAGGAGGTTCTTAGTTTATATGACTTAACTCCACTTCCCGATGTGGTGAAGAAATTCATCATTTACTTGTTGTCGAACCTTTTCTTTCTTATGAGTAAGTATCAAACACTAGCTACCATCCTTAGTGTAGCTCGTAATACAGATAATATTTTATTTTACAACTAGCCATAATCAATTAGAAATTTTCTTGTGACTGATTTTGATGAAATTATGAAGAAGTTTACGAATGGACAACCACTTGAATACAATAATGGTTTTATACATATTTTAATTGTGAGTCATATAACATTTTATTTATATGAGCGCATACCTTGATTTTCCTTTTTATGCTGACATTCTTCTGTTTTGCTTGTAGTTATGATTTCTAGAGCATACTACAGTACACGATCAGTGTATTCTAAATCAAGACCACATTTTCTTCTATGGGTTGTGATATAATGTATAGTGAAGCAGAGGATTCTAATTTATTTGAAGGTCTCGAACATGTACATATAGTACTTTCTTTTGAAAAAATTATAAGTGAGGAGAGGACATTATTAGGAACACCTCCCCATTAGCACCCTCATGCATCCATAAATCAAACATCCACTTCACCTAAGACATTTCCCCTCTTACAACTCACCTTGTGCAAACCTCGCTATGTTGTTTCTTCACATTCCAGCTCACCTATACACTCCAAACCCCCAAGCCCATTCAGACCTCCCAGCCCACCAAGTACCCACACCCCCCCCGGCCCCCCCCCCCCCCAGGTCGCATGGAAAGCAACAACCTATTTCCCTTGCTAAAAAACACCATGATAGCATTAAGGAAGCCATCCGCAATATAATGGATCAAAACAAACTTCTTCAAAAATGGTTAGTGCATCTTGAATCGATAATTTCTCTAATTAAGCGACAAATGGCTGCATTAGAACATCATGTATTCTAGCAGTGGGAGAAGGATGGGAGAGTTGAGGCTATGGAGAAGTTTTCATCTTAGAACTTTCCAACATTTAAACCTTTTACCCTAGGACAACAAGTTGAATCTTCTTCTAGGACTTTAATAGATGAGAAGAAGAATGTGGAGGATGATGGCCTTGCTACAAATGTTATTGTCCTTGAAAGCCCATTTAAACAAGATATATCGAAGGATGCCAACCTAACTAATCTACCGAATGGTGTGGATGATGCTGGCCTAGCTTCATCATCCAACACAGGCATAGCAAAAAGGGTGCGACGAAGGCTAGATCGGAAGCCCAAAGAGGTTAAGACTCCATTCACGACCGATCAAAATAAGATAAAGATGCTAACAAAGAAAATAATTGCAAGGCCTACTCCTACGAAGAAAGAAGTTGGAAGGCCTACTCCTACAACTACTATAAGTGACATTGATATTATAAAATCACCCGAGCATAAACCAGTAGCTATTGAATTAGAATATCAGGGGAGGGAAATGAAAAATGAAGAAATGAGGATATTCATCAACAGTTATCTTCGAAAGTATATTGATAAGTAAGTTTGAATTATGTTGCATGTTATTTAATTTAATCACTTGATACAAGTCTTCTAAAATTTTGAATTACTTGATACTGCTGGGTACCACTGGGTACTGATGGATACCACTGGGTACCGCTAGGTATCGCTATGTATTAATAAGTAATATTTGGTACTGATGAGTAGTGCAGGTACCACTAGATACAAGTCTATTTTGAATATTTGTAGCACTTGTTACCGTTGAGTACCGCTCGATATCGATACCTAGATAATGAAATATATGTCTCTAACCTTGTATATTTTGTAGGGGTGACATTATTTATTATGAAGGGAATGTCCATATTTTTAGAAGTCAAATAGATGAACTTTTAACAAACCAATACCTCAAAACAACCACATTAATGCCTTTTCCATTTTGCTAGTTGAGAAGAACAATTTGCATCCAGGCCTTTATCAACCTTTCATTTTTATTTCTAGACTGCATTAGGTAACGCTGTATTAGGTGATGATATTTTTCGACAGACTGCATTAGGTGATGATATTTTTCAAAAAAATTACTTTTTACACATCACCATCCTTTCACATTTAGGAAAAATCCTATTCTATTTGCCTTTTCAGCCATCGCTTCTCTCTATGACACTTCAAATATACTATCACAATGTTCATATCATGTATGTACACAACATATGTATATTTCATTTTTCCTGGCTTGTTACTTAAGATGACAGTTAGCACACTAAGCCATATATTCATGCATTCTAATGGTGGCAATGTCGACAAAAAAATCTTTCATAGGTATACCTAGATCAAGTTTAGCATCTGGCCAATACAATTTATAGATCATAATCAAAATATATTGAATAGCAAACTGCCTCAACTTATATACCTTATAAATTCAGCTAACGAATAATAAATATCAGAACAACTCATATTAAATAGGTAAATCATCATAACTACCAACTATAAATATCATTAAAAACCAAAGTTAATATATCAAATTCCACAACCACTATGTATCGACTTCTAAAAGCTGATGGAATGAATGGTACCGAGCGGTACCGCATGGTATCTAGCGGTACCGAATGGTACCAAG